TGGGGGGTGGGGTGGGGGGTGGAGGGAAGGGATGTATAAATGGGTATTATGGGTATTATTATTATTATTATTATTATTATTATTATTATTATTATTAAAATGCATTAAAATGCTAAAATCAGCAAAAAAGAGGTTAGTGTTAACAGAGTGTGGTGATGCACATTTGTTGAATTTCATTTCACTTGTCAAACCCTTTTTTTTCCCGTTTTTTTTAACTTTTTTTTTTTTTCCCCCCCGGTTGTTTTTCTTCCTCGTTCACCGAGCATTTTGTGCTAAGGATGAGTGGTAGAACCTTGTATATAGTTAAACGTCACAGGCCCAAAAAAAAGGAAAAAAAGGAAGTCTTTCTGTATTTTTGACTTCTTATTATTCTTTTCGGAAAACGATTTTACAATTACGAAAAAAAAAAAAAAAAAAAAAGTCGCAGGTTCGAATCCTGTAGGGGAAGCTGAATTTTCTTCAGGACACTGAGTGGCATGAATGGTACTCAGCCTGAGCATGGTACTCGGTGTGGGTTGTTCTGGTCCCACTGGTCGATGATTTCAGATCATGCATTAAAAAAAAAAAAAAAAAAATTAAAAAAATTGTTGAATGGTATGAAAAACTTCCATTTTTACATGTATCATCCAAATACGTTCTGTTCCAAAAATGGGAAAAGCCGATTGTATAGGTGGATCATTGTAGTGAAATACAGGGATCGTTTTTTTTTTTGTCGTTTGGTAAAACCCCAGTTTCGCTTCTCGGGAGTACTGGCGGTGTAAGTTGGAGAGAGAGAGAGAGAGAGAGAGAGAGATGTGTTTCACGGAAGTAAGTTGGATTCAAGAGCATTTTTAACATTCTGTTCTGACAGTTGTTTGGGAATATTCTTCCCACTCTTCTCGAGGCGGTTTTCAATTATGGTCCCTAACTTTGTGTAGAATTTGTACAGTTTGGGGTTGTCGGCGTGTTTCTGGATAGCTGTCGGATCTCTGGCAATCTCTGCGACTGCCGCCATGACGTCAGGATCGTTGAAGCCATTTGCTACTTCCGGGTTGCTCGAGATGTCCTGCAGCAAGTCTGGTGTAGGTCTCATTACATCTGCCCAAGGACAGTCAAAATCAATTCACAAAGCAATCGATGAATCAATCAATCAATCAATCAATTAATCAATCCATTAATCAATTAATCAATCAATCAAGTCAACCAATCAATCCATCACGCCCGTCTCTCCGTCAATCAATCGAGGCTGTAAATTCCTCAAGTCCTTCAATCGACCCATTCATCCTTCAATCCACCAATCCACCAATCAATCAATCAATCAATCAATCGTCAGTGAGTCAATCACTCATTAGGTCAGTAGGTTGGTCAATCAGTCCGCCGCTCAATTTGTAAGTCCATCCGATCCATCCAATCCATCCATCCATCAAATCAAGCAACCAATCAAGCAATACACTCAATCCAGTCAATCAGACCCAATCAAGCAACCAATCAACCAACCAATCAAGCAATACACTCAATCCGGTCAATCAGACCAAATCAATCCAGTCAAAGCAAATTGAGTAATTTGACCGAATCCAATCCATGTCGAATGAAGTCGAATTAAATTCGCAAATCCGCTGAAATCAATCAAGTCAATCAGTCAATCAAGGAAGGAGAGACGCAACAGGGAGAGAACGGGCAGCATGAAGTTTGGGAAAAAAACACATTTGGGTCAATCATGCTCATTAATCCCATCAGATGTATCTGTAAACTTCCTGTTCCCTTTTTTTGTCATCACACACACACACACACACAGAGGGGGAGAGAGAGAGAGAGAGAGAGAGAGAGAGAGAGAGAGAGAGAAGGAGAGAGATGGTAACAATCATGACGATAATGATTATAGTATGGCGACAATAACGACTAAGCCCGGGGATGATGATGACATCATATAGGATGTTCCGACCCTCTGCTCATCATTCTTGTCACCGTATGCTCAGCCACGTGAGAGAGAGAGAGAGAGAGAGAGAGAGAGAGAGAGAGAGAGAGAGAGAGAGATCACTACCCCATCCTGATCCCGATCCTGGTCCTCGCCTTCTACCTCGTCTTCACCCCGAACACTTCCTGGCTCCCTCTGCACTTTGAGAGAGAGAGAGAGAGAGAGAGAGAGAGAGAGAGAGAGAGAGAGAGAGAGAGAGAGAGAGAGAGAGAAGCTTCTGCTTACCGACAATGTCTTGCTTGAGGTTTTGCATGGGATTCTGGGGCATCTCCACTCGCATAAAATCTTGTCATGCATATTAATCGTCGAAGGCGGCAAATTTTCACAAAACCATTGAAACAAAAAAACTTTTTCAATCAGTCGAATCTGTGAAAAAAAAAAAGAAAAGAAAAAAAAAAAACTTTTTCAATTCTGTAAATTTAAAATTTGACCCCTAGCCCAAGTTTCAGATGAGCACACACATGCGCACACTCACCATCTCTCTCTCGCACACTCACCATCTCTCTCTCTCTCTCTCTCTCTCTCTCTCTCTCTCTCTCTCTCTCTCTCTCTCTCTCTCTCTCTCTCTCTCTCTCTCT